GCAACAAACTCACCAATAGTCGATCCAGTTTCTTGTGACGAGGCCACTACAAATCCAAAGCCTTCGGTTGGACCACGCGTCAATCTAATTTCTTGATATTTCATAGGAATGTCTGGTTCTCTCTTGTCTGACTCACTGCGGCGTCGGTCTCGGCCRGGTGGATGYTTGTAGCCTCTATCATCCTCGTTCCTGACGCCATAGTATGTTAAGTCTCCCGCTGAACGAGACCCGAGACGACTCTGACTAGAGCCCGAGGTACGTCGGGTTGGAGTGGACCCTGTAGGAATAATTGCGTATGGTGTTACATTTGGTGACCAATTAAACTAAWATATATATATACGCTGAGAAGGATTTTGTGAAAACACTCACGCCCTGACCGCGATCCAGCCCTTTGAATTCCAAGCGTAACAAACCCACTATCTGCTGCTTCATGAATAAGTGAGATCACGTGATGGTGGCTTGAGCCAATCACATTCTTGTCATTCACGTGCACTATGATGTCATCGCGCTGGAGGTTGGCTTCGTCTGCTGGACTCCCAGGTACTACAGTCCCTATGGAAGCCTGGGAACAATAAATAAGACGCAGTTATATAAAACAGCTCTATTGATTCGATTGCTTAAGATCCTCTTCGCTTGTGATGTCAAAGTCATCGTAGTATTTGATAAAACATCCGCCATCTTGATAGTTTGACAACACATCAAAATGCACTTTTTCCAAAGTAAACTTGACATCATAACAGAACATGGCGAACAGAAAAAATACATCATCTATTCATCCAAAAATTAATCCACAAGTCCATCCATTTTTCCATGCATAGCAATGAGGAAGTTCTTCGACGAGCAAATGTTGAGGACATTGAAATTTAACTAGTTCGTAGTCGTCTTCCCTGGCTGGGTCACCTCTGCCGGATGGATGACAACAGAGCTAGAAAGTGGTTCACGCTCTGTTTGTCCTCAAAAATTAAGATATAAAGATATATTGAAGAAAGACCTGAAGAGTCGAGGGACGCTCGCCGTGATAAGACAGTAAACTGAACTGTGAAAATACCCGTTCGTGGGTGCTGACGTATTATTATTATTGCATTCATTCATTTGTTCATTTTACCCTGCAAAATAAGTCATTTTTTCATTATTGCTAAGTTGAAGACTTGCCGTCTTACCTGTGTTTGTTCTTCTTTGCCTCCGACAACTC